TTCGCTATTTGCCTAAGACATTGAAATGGGGCTGCAGATGAGGTCCTCCTGACTAATCCGGTCGCTTTGTTGTTTGCCTAAGACATTGAAATGGGGCTGGAGATGAGGTCCTCCTGACTGATCCGGTCACTTTGCTGTTTGCCTAAGACATTGAAATGGGGCAAAAGATGAGGTCCTCCAGACTGATCCGATCGCTTTGTTGTTTGCCTAAGAGATTGAAATGGGGCTGGAGATTAGGTCCTCCTGACTGATCCGGTCGCTTTGCAGTTTGCCTAAGACATTGAAATGGGGTTGTAGATGAGGTCCTCCTGACCGATCCGGTCGCTTTGCTAAGTCAGCTAGATTTGCTTGTTGATAAAGGTCTGACTTTTCTCCTTGTGAGAGTAGTCCAGCCTAAGTTTGTTAGTGATTGCATGGGGTTGACTGAGAACAACTTGGAAAGTTAACCAGCTAAGTAAAATCCAGGACTAATGTTTTTTGTGATCAGGACAACGAAAAATGAAAACTTTGGATATGGACAAACAAAAGATGAATTGACTGAATGTGATGTGGACATGACATGCTTGTTGAGAATGCTTTCTCTTTTTGCTCAAGCTCAGTTTGTCTTCTACATTATAGGGTAGTTTGTTAGTGCTCGCATTATGGTTGAGCGATAGGCAGTTAGCCTCTGAGTTAATAGAACTTCTGGGAGCCTTTTTTTCTTAAGGGACATGCTGTCAAAATTTCTGCTAAATACTCAAAGTTAGTCAAGAGTCAGAGATGTCAGCTAGGATACGATACAGTTTAGTCTTTGGGGTCAATAGAAATTCTCGAAGCCTTCCTTTTCAAAGGAAGTGCTGCCGAAATTCCTACTAAAACCAAAGAGTTAGTTATTTTCAAATATTTTTCTGAGTCTCGAGTTTTTTTCTTTTAAGATTTGGTATAGTAAATATTCTTCGAGCGCACCTCCCTAAAGGAAGTGTTGCCGAAATTTTCGGGATTTTCACAGCGTTAAGAGATGCTACTGCTAAGTAGGTCAGAGTGCGATACGGAGTTGAACTCCGTTAACTTGACAAGCCATTCCTGCCTTGATCTTTGTGACGCAGGTCATTGTGCGAGTGTTCTTCGAAGTCTTGAGCTTCATCACCTTCTGCTATCAAATTGATAGCAGATCGGTTTGTGAATCGACTCCTACCCACCATGATACCCGCGCCCAGATGTTTGTGACCCTGTAGGCGAAAGGTATTTCGTATGAAAGAAAACCCATCCTTGGAATTTCTCTTGAATGGCCATTCAAAAGCTGCGTGAATCAGGACGGGGGGGTATGCCTTTGCTGAGTGGGGATCGGAAAGGGGCGTGTGGGACATGAACCATAGAGAAAAAGGGTTGACCACGTTTTGTGGTATCTACGTGTAAATTTTTATTGGACTTTATGTGTGTGCAGGTATGTATGGGAGCGAGGACTCGCTCTTGGATTGAGGGTGATATGGATGAATGAATGCAGGGTGTGAGTGACAAGGTTCAACTATGGATGTGAGAAAGACTCTCCCTGATTTCCTCCGAGACTCACCCTTTTCCTTTTCTTTTGCTCCTGTCGCGCGCATCTAGCGAACAGGCAGTAGTAGTCAAGCGCAAAGTTTACCGCTCGACCTTAGATCGGACTGAAACTTAGTTTGGGTATGGTGAATTGCTCACCAACCCGTGACTACTACAACACAATAGGGTTTCCCCCTTGAGGCGGACCTACGCCTCTTGCTTATCATCACCCACTGCCTGAAAGACGGGCGTCGCAAGGGCTTCACGACTTATCCTTCAATCGTGCAATATCGTGAAGGAGGAACCCTTCACGATATTTCGCTTTTGACACTTGAGTGCCATATGCAACCTCGAAACCCATGAGAGGCTGTGCGGATGTGGGCAACGCATGAAGCGTCGCCATGACAACAAATCAGGTAAGTACACATGACTGGGCGTTATGTTTCCCTTAGCGCCTGCATTCATTTTATGTAACTCTGCGCGGGCCTCACACAGATATATTGGTCTTCTAAGTTATGGGTCAGGAATGAAAAAGGGACTAGGCTTATTTGTTTGTTTAAGTTGGTTTTCAGCGTATCGCATGGTTGAGTTAGGATGTCCTGGTCGACCGACGTTGAATCGCGCGTGGGAGATCAGCGCCCCAGCGTGACGGTTCGCGTACGGGTCCGAGCTAGGTGTGGACCACGCGTACCCCCTATGCGACAAAATACGAGAAACGACCTTGGTTGGGCCACCTCCGCAATTGCAAGTAAAAGTTTTCACGTGTGGTTCAGTAGCTCGGCGGGGATACACCCACCCGAGGGATGGTGACAGCTCCCACGGGTGGAGGTAAGTTGTACCTCGTGAGACCCTATTCTGTCGTAGGGAATCGATGGAGGTATAGTTGGCGCACTCGGTCGGAGCGGCTCCGCTGCTTCCCTTTTCCTGAAGCGACATGCGAATTCTACCAATCCTGTGTGACGTGGCTGGGAAGGTTCCCCCAGCGAGGACCGTGCGCTCGACTGGTGGCGCCGTTGTCGGGGATCTCGGCTGCCTACTGAGGTCCAGAGTGAACAGACTTGGGTTAAGTGCAGAACGATGATCCCAACGAAACGACACTTTTGGTGATTAGAGAATGATATAGTGTGTTTTTGACTTTGATATTGCCCGTTATGACCTAAGGGAATGAATCTTGCCAGACCCAAGGAAAGGCCTCGCTGTCATATTTAGAGACGCTAAGTATCCGGACTTTGCGTGATGTGGATGAATTTGTAATGTGACTGTATGGTGGTGTGAGAGTCTGTGAGTGAGTGTTGAAGGTTTACACCAAAGTAGTTGGGCACAACCTCCTAAGGCTTTTTAGGTTGGACTGGCTATGAGGGAAGGCTAAAGTTGTTAAAGCAATTAGGTTGACCCTGTATTAGTGTTGTATATTGACAGGGAACTGATTGTCGAAAAGCAAAATGGGAACGATGAGCTTAATGACGCCAATGGCGCGGGGCAGCGGCCGATTACATTAAGTCAGCTGGTTGCTCTATTGGATGGGCGCGCGATGACGTGATCCAACATTCCGAAGGTTCCAATCTTCCACTTCCAAGGTGAGAAAGTGTTCGAATGGCTTGAGTTGTTGGAGCAAATCACGGACGGAATGACGAATGAGAGGAAATTTCGTCAGGTACATAAATACTTCTGGTGCGAGATGCGGCCAGAAGTCGTGCGAGTAGCAACTGAAGCCGCATGAAATTGGGCGAACTTCAAGGAGAGTTTCAGAGACGGTACCAGTTGGGAGATGGCCTCCTTACGACCGAGGACTTGGAAAGATTAGAGAGGTCTGATTTCACGACGGTGGGTGCCTCCGCAACGACGTTTGAAAAGATGGTGAGGAAGGTTCCAGGGTTGGCTGAGGAGTCCCAATGTGCCATCTTCCTGAGCAACTTCACAGAGTGCGAAAGTGTTTCCCTAACAAGAAGAGGAGCTATAGGACGGAAATTGACGTGGGAAACAGTGAAGCAAAGTTTGGAGGATGGGGAGCTGGACCAGGTGTACCAGTTCCGGATGATACAACAACGGCAGAAACGAACGACCCGAGTTGTTACTGAAGGAGCAGGTATCAACCTTCAACAACTTATCGCGGATGGAATAGCCAAGTATCAACCTGACCAGCAGAAGGCGGTAGGGAAACAAGTTTTGACAGTAATACAACCTCAGGCTAGAGCCGCGAAGAAAGGAAAGGTGGTGGAGCAAGTGGAAAATGATGATGACGATGATGAAGAGGAAGAACCCACAAAGCTGACGAAGAGTCAGAGGAAAGCAAGGAACTAGGCTGCGGGCGGCCAAGGTTCAGGGAAAAATACAGAAATGCAGACCGTCGTACCGGCCCAAGTAGACACGAATCAAGGGAGTACGAGTGCGACGCCGCCACAAGGACCAGCACCGCTTGGACCTTGGCCAGGGGCGATTCCTCCTGTTTGGCCAGGATATAGTCCATATGGCCCATGGTCGTTTTACAACCAAGTCGTGCCACCCGTGGGAGGGCCGACTGCGCATAGTGCAGGAGGGTACCCCAATGCGCCAGCTCAAGGAGTGAACTTGCAAGGAGGGGCCAACAGCAGCAGCCGACACCCCCGCCTCAGGTCGACCAGCCCAGTCAAGCGACGGGTCAGGGGCGAGGACAAAGCCAACAGGGTAACAGGCAAGCCAGTCAGGGCTGAGGCGGTGGAGGTCGCGGACAAGGTTCCGACAATGGTCGACGAAACGGTCAAGGGGACGGACGCGGAGGCAACTGGAACGGGCAAGGTGGAAATGACAGCCCGAGGTTTGATTGGAGGAATGAGGAAGATGAGTGGCTTAGGAAGGAAGAGGAAGTACAAGTTGCTCAATGCGCAAAGAAGAGAAAGTCGGACGATAGGCCAAAGAGAGCGGCGGGAGAAGAAGGCTTGTGAAAACAAAAGTATGCGGTGCCATTGGAGGATGGCCTAGATATTGAAGCCATGGTTGATAGGCTTTTGGAAGGACATAATAACATACTTAATTTGAAGGATATCCCCGCATCCGCACCTAAACTTAGGGAAGGATTCAAGACGCTACTCTCTCGTCGAAGGGTGGCAAGTGTAAGATTGGGAGATCTTATTCCTGTCGAGGCTCACTAGGCGGTTCCTGGGACAAAGATGGATTGGAAATCGGTTGGGACCGGGAGTGTGAACTTGTGCATAAAGGGTAAGTCGTGTAGCGGGATGTTAGACACAGGAGCGGATATGAACATCGTCAAAGAATCTGACGCACTCCGCTTGGCCGTTTTGAGCTCGTTTATTACCTCTAAGTTTCCATAGAGGAGAGAAGGTTACGTTTTCTCCAGCTCCAGGATGTGATGAGTCGACATCGCAATTGTGTTAATTGAAACCACAATAAATAATAGTAAATAACTCTTACTCGAATGAAATGAATACTATCGATTGAGGCGAAGTGGGGCAGTCTGCAACATATAAATGCATCACTAGTGTCTCAAAATCAATCGAGCAAGCTCACAGGTCGCCTTGGACATCGATCGAATGCACTCGGGCCTCCTCTATGGCGCAAGCAGGAAGACTCCTTTTACTGGGACGACCTCGAATGTGGTGATTGAAATCGGGAAAGTGAATGTGCGGTCCTGCTTCTTCGTTATGCCGGATTTGGACCATCCTCTTCTGTTGGGAAGGTCATTCCTCTGCCGCACTGAATATATGATACTTAACAAGCATGGCGGTACAATGTACGTCATCCTAAGCGATCCAGTTTGTGGCAACTACGAGATCATTACCTGTCATAATACAGGACCACGTAGCATGGGGAACAGGCCAAACCAAGGTTCCTTTACTTTTGAGGAATCGGAAGAGGAGAGGAGGAGATTAATGGGCGAGGGCGAAGAGGAGTGTGGGCCTACTGACGAGATGTGTTTAAGCCTAACAAACATCAATAACGCCATGGAGATAGTGTCGACTTATGGGAGCGGATCCCATTGCCGTGCAGGCTTTGAGAGAAAGAGTGGTGGAAGACTATGGCGAACGAGAAGTGGAGCTCGTATACCGGTTGCCGGCAAGGGCAGGTGAGCCAGGGGTACCTCAGAGTCGTGCTGCAAGTCTGCCTTTTTTAGGGATGGGCTTAAGCAGAGCTCCAAAAGGAGGTACAAGCACGTGACTGAGAAGAGTCACCCCGTTCCTGTGCTCATAGCTTTGGAGGAAGAGTTCTACTATGAGCAGAAACGTGAACTGGTACGACAAATGAAGGAGGATGCAGAACATGGGCCGTGTCGTATCAATGAAAGGACTGAGGGAAATTTGATAATAGGGGAGTCGGGATTCCTCACGCCACAAGAGAAGGGCCTTATGGTAGAGGTAATGAAGGAGCGGCATTGCGCATATGCGTTTGACGATGATGAGCATCGACGCCTCGATGTGGACAAAGTGCCTATGATTAGAATCCACATTGTGCCTCACGTACCATGGAACTTGCGAGGTCCACGCTATCCTAATCCGGCAGAGGAACGGAGAGTAGTCGACTAGTTGGATGACAAGATTCATTCTCATGTAACTGACTATTCAAGTGGACCTTACGCATCTCCATGGTTCTGTCTTATCAGGCCTAACGGTACCCTGAGGTGGGTACAACACCTTCAGCGCCTGAATACAGTAACGATACAAGATGCGAGAGGTTTGCCGAACGCAGATGCACTGTCAGAGTCATGTGTCGGTGCCGTTCGAATCAGTTAGTGAAATTCGTAGCTTCTTGGGGCCTTGTGGCTTTTGGCGAGTCTTCATCAAGAACTTTGCTGAAAAGACTGAGCAATTGAGGAAGCTTGTGGATCAAGAATGGGAATGGGATGAGAAGTAGGAAGGAGTGGTGAGTGGGATGAAAAGTAGGAAGGAGTGGTGAGTGGTTTGAAAAAGGAATTCAGAGAAGGGGGTTTGGTGTTAGGAGTTCCTGATTTCGAAGCAACGCCTATACATCCTTTCATTGTGGAGACCGATGCAGGGCCCACAGCCTTGGGTGGTGTTCTGATTCAGGCAGACGCGAATGAAGAGGAAAGGCCTTTGAGGTTCGAGAGTCGGACCTTGAATGGCACAGAGAGAAACTACTCACAGTTGAAGCGGGAGACACTAGCGGTTCTCCATTGTCTAAGGGTATTCCTTAATTAACTTTTTGAAAGGAGGTTTGTGCTACGTGTTGATCCGACAACGATGGCCGACTCATTGAAAAACTATGCCCCGTCAGACCCAACAATTGCCAGGTGGCTCACCTATGTGTGGATGTTTGACTTTGAGTTGGAGCGCATACCTGGGAATAAGAATCGGGTTGACGGGCTTTGTCGAATCAATTGGGATAAGTCCGACGAACGAGCTAATGAGGATATACCTCCGGTGGACGCATTCCTCGATGAGGAGGAGGATGTGAAGCTCCATATCAACGCGCATGTCGTTGGGGTCAGCGGCGTCCTTGTACAAGGGCAGTCTGCTTTTCTTGCTCCTGCAGGGTATGTAAAGCGTGCGGATATAGTCCTCAAGAACTTCGAGGAGGAGGATCCTTGGGGAGGAAAGGATGTTGAGTGGATGGCTAAGCTTGCATTGGCAGAGACCTTTCGAGTAGAAGAAGACCCATTGGCCATAGAAAGTGGAGCTTACTCAGTCGACACTCACGCAAGGTATGCGGCAAATGTCAGTTTCCTCGTCAATTCGATCGTCCAAGTGCACGAGGATGGAGAAGAGAGTCGGGACCCTGTTAGAGATATGGAAGAGGACGAGTTTGAGGAAGGCGAGATAATAAAGGTTTTTCGCGCAGTTAAGTACAAAAGCGTATACCGCGACTTGGGTTTGCTTCTCTCGTGCAAGATTAGAGAGAGAGAAGCAACTAAGAAGGTAACCGAGATGCTACCTCGTTTTTTGGTTCGGAACGGACACCTTTTCATCAAAAATGAGGTTGGCAACCCGAGGACGGTGATCTGCGGCCGAAATCGTCAGATAGACGTTATAGCCACACTTCATGACGGACCCGCGGGCGGTCACAAAGCGTTTGCCTTGACATATGCGAAGGCGCGAGAGCTTTATTACTGGGAAGGAATGAGTGAGATGATTCGCAAGTATTGCGAGTCATGTGTTCCATGTCAAATCAGGGCGTTGACTATGTACAAGGAGACATTGCACCCACGGATTGTACGTGATGCAGGCGCAGTGGTCCATCTGGACCTATTGGCAATGCCTCAGGGAGTGGGCGACTACAACTACATCTTCGACGCACGGGATAATCTTACGAGGTTTGTCGATGGATGAGCCATTCGTAGCAAGACAAACGAAACATTGGTTCTGTGTATCTTCGAGCATTTCCTCAAGTATCCTTTCGTAGTGGAATTTGTGATGGACAGCGGGTCAGAGTTCACCTCTGGAGAAGTGCGAACCTTATTGCAAGAGTACGGTGTACAAGCGATCTATACAACTAGGGCACACCCGCAGGCGAACGCCCCAGTTGAAAGAGGACATACCACCATCACGAATCTACTGGCAAAATTGACATATGGCGGGGAGAACCAATGGCCTAAGCATTTGCTCGCAGTATTCTTCGTGGAGAATATTACAATTAAGAGATCCATGAAGTACAAGCTAGCAACACTACGGTATGGAAGGCATGCCACGCTCCCGATAGACAACTTTTTAAAAACGTGGAGGAGGCAGGATATGGAGAGCACCTTGTCCTTCGAGGAATTGCTGAATTTGCGGGCCAGACAAGTTGGCATCGCAGAAGAGAGGATCCAAGAAGCGGCTGATCGGGTAACAGATAGTCGGTTGGGGGACAAAGAGAGGTGGGATCTCCTCCCACGAGTCAGGAAGGAGCCACTGAAAGTCGGAGACGTGGTGTTACTATATGACTCGTCACTAGAGAAACAGTGGTCTCGTAAGTTGGACAAGCGATGGCTAGGCCAGTATCACATTAGACGATGCGGGCAGCAGGAAGCGTATGAGATTGAGGAGCTTAACGATACGCCGTGGAGAGATTGGGTCTCGGGTTCAAAATTGAAAAAGTTCAAGGCGCGAGACTAAGGTAAGGGTGACGGAAAAAGCTCTGCGAGTAGAAATAGTATCCGATTCCTCGTCTTATTAGGTGTTACTTGCACTAGTAATAGGATAGGATTGTGTGTTAATATTTAGATAGGTCTTAGTACGAGTTTTAGTTCGGTCGTTTGAGGGTATGAGAGTTCTGCTTGGGTCAGTCGGTATAGACATTTCATTTTTTTTCCTGTGCTTACTTCTGTTTCCTCTATCGTCCGTCCTTCTTATTTGTGAAGAGTTGACTTTCCGAAGTTGGCCACTATTCGGAGGGGCGGGAGGATGGCGGGACAGGAGGATGAGCGACTAGCCACGTCTTCGATACTGGACCCTTTCCGTTACGGGGGTGGACATGTATTTCCATTTTTGGACGGATTAGTTAGGCAGGTTAGGGTCCTTGGGTTAGATTTCGCTCAGATGATAGAGAGGGTAAGGGGTACTGGCAGCTATGAGGATCGTGAGAGAGTCATTGGATTGGAGGCACTTCGCCAGACGGATGCTGAGATTGTGGCCTCATCCCATTGATCGACAGGGTAGGCCCATGCGGTTTGACGGGGCTAACCTGGATGAGTTCTTTGAGGTTTTTATCATTTTTGGGGATGAGCAGAGATGGACTGAGGCGCAGAGGGTTAGGCATGTTCGACACTAAGTTGTCCCGGAGCCTATACATGAGGTGAGTACCATGTCATACACAGGGCAAACTTGGGCAGAGCTTATAGCGACGCTTAGGGGGGGCGTTCACCGCTGGTAGACGACGCAGGCTGCACAAAGAGGTTGGGGATTACATCCCGGAGCTCAGGACACGTCCATGAGTGCAGCTAGAGAGGGATGGGGACGATGATAGGCGATTGCAAGAGAGCCAGAGAGAGAGTGAGCAGCCAGGGATTCCGCGTAGGCCTAGGACAGGCAGACGCCGAGGACGTCAGGAGTGGGGGGATGATCTGGACGAGACAGATCATGTGCTCACCATTGATATTGGGAGCGTCCTCCCGACATATGATGCGAGGAAGGAGGCCTTACGAATAGGATCTCAGAGGCAGGATGACTTATCTATCCCTAAGATTGGGACTTCGCCAGTACCAGAGGCATGTCAGGGTGAGACGGGGATTAGACGTTGCGATCCTGAAGTGTGTCGGAGGCAGATAGGACTAAGCCTACGCTCAGGCAGGATGGGGAGGAGGTTTCCCCGCAGCTTGTGTTGACGACTGCTCCAGCTCAGCCTACAAAGATTGATACCATGGAGAGAGTCGTATCCGATACTGCATCGGAGGATAGGAGGGATAAGCCTTATCGGTGGAGCGACACACGGGACATGGCATTAAATCTTGTGGGAGCTACAACTTATAATAGGGCCTGCCACCATAGTGCCGATGCATGGGCACGAGGGGCCTCAACCTGAGCAGCCGCGAGAGACAACGCCGATGCATGGTGAGCCGGTGTATGATGGGCAGGAGGACCAACCTCGGTCAGAGCCAGTGATGGAGGATGGTGAGAGAGATGAGATGAGACCTTTATTGTTAGATGAGTTGCCATTGCCAGCCGATAGTCGATTGGATGAGCGGCCAACTGAGCTTGAGGGTTCATTGACTGCCCAGTTATATGACATGGAGTCTCCTAGGGCGCAAATGCGACAGAAGGTATCCCGACCTTCGGCCATGGATATAGAGACAGAGCAGGTTGAGGCCGAGATCTTGGGGCTAGACAGGGAGGATCCCACAGAGGGCATACAGACCCAGCGAGTGGGATCGTCACCTATGGATTTTGGGGGTACTCCTCGACGAGACAGTGATAGGAGTGAGGCTAGCATGAGCGTTCACGTTGAGGTAGGCCCCGGAGCGCATTCAGGACACATCCATCACTCATGAGGAGGAGAGCTTGCCAGAGTCTCGAGAGCCGATAGATCACGAGCCTGTCAGGAGGGATGTGTGGCTAGTCGAGGAGAAGGGACGGATGCCATCGTTACACTTTCCGGGCTGGCTGGCTTTTGAGCAACTGCGCCAGGCCGCCGCACTTGCCGAAGGGTCAGACCACTGGAGGGCTCAAGGTACTATATGATGACCTGACCATGCAGAGGGCCTACATTGGTAGCAGCCTTGGAGCAGCTCGAGAGGCGACAGAGCAAGTTAGAGATTACACGAGGAGAGTTGCTATCCGATCCTTTGAGCTGAGCCGCGACAGGCAGACGGAGCAGGATGCGCTGAGAGAGATGGTGAGTGACCTCCGTGCGGTTATTGAGGGAAGGGAGGCTCAGACTTTAGAGGAGGTCAAGGCGGTCCTCAGGATTTAGGAGAGAGAGGCGAGTGATTGGCGAGCCCAGGTTCAGAGGGTGCTCAGGGAGTATGAGCCACCTGCTGACGCAACAGATAGATAGGCTCGAGCGCAGGGTTGTCCTTGAGACTGTGCGATCATCTCAGTTGGAGAGCCAGGTATCGACCCTTGTCAAGTTGCAGCGAGAGACCGAGGAGCAGACGCAAAAGCTCTTTTTTGAGGATGCGGCCACAACTGGATGGCAGGAGGAGGTTAGGATGAGGAGACGGGTAGGAGTGGAGCCCATGCCTGAGGGCGAGCGTACGCAGGCAGAGTAGGGGCTCCGGGCGAGATTGTTATCTGACGCCTCAGTGCGAGAGTTGGCACGCGTGATGGAGCATGTCAGGAGAGTCACGCAGGCCGAGGTTGCGCGAGGAGAGGTGCTCCAAGATGCGGTACAGAGGATAAGTACTCTGGAGCAGGTGAACAAAGGACTGAGGGACATGGTACGTGACCTCGTCGCTAGCGTAGAGCAGGCAAGACAATCTACCTCGATACTCGAGCAGAGGATTACTGATCTAGAGGAAGGTCAAAAGCGTCAGGCCACGATAGGTCTGGTCCACGAGAGGAGGACTGAGGTGCAGCAGGCTCCTATTGGACAGGCAAACGTCCCTCATGAGGTAGAGCGTGGTGGAATGAGATTGGACACCCCTCGGCGAGACTCGCGGACGGAGGAGCCACTCAGGGCTATGGGGATGACATGTGAGGAGGCTGCAGTCGTCGACAAGCTCATGCTTGAACCAGACGAGATCAAGAGGTGGAGAGAGGCAAAGGCATGTGGTTGGACTGGGTCCCTCCCTTAGAGCTGGCAGTTCAGGGGGATGCATGGCGAGGGATGGGTAATAGGCACAACGAGCGAGAGAGGGCATCAGAGTCACGGGAGGTCATACCACAGCAGGACACGAGGGGATCAGATGCGGTACTACCCATGACTACCATTTACACCAGCTCCAGCTTTGGGGCCGATGGGCAACATAGTGCACCTCCTTTCATCAGGTTCTGAGAGATGTGACGAGGGGGCGACGACTGAGAGGGTCTCGAGGATGTTGAGTCCTGATACGGTGGATAGGGTCGTATAGGATGTGTCGATCTGACTCAATAGGGCCGTATAGGATGTGACGATCTGACTCGAGATGTGACGATCTCACTCGAGAGGGCACGACCCAAGCCTAAGAAGGCGAAGGTGGACGACAGCGGAACCAGTGATATGTGCTCATGGTGTGGTAGAGGAGTGCACGACAGCGTTGCTTGCCCCGCCTTCCAGGATGACCTTAGGAGGCGAGTCGTGCAGTTCGACGGGCAGGGGCGAGTCAGAGATATGCGCGACGCTCTTCTACCTACGAGACGACACGATGCTAGGAGAGTTGTGTATGACAAGCTAGGCCGTGAGCTGAGAGAGGATGAGTGATAGGTTATATGTCCATGAGACTCATGAGAAGCCAGACTATGAGATCAGAGAGAAGATAGACGAGGATGAGGGAGCTATTATGGGGGATAGATTGTTGGACTCATTCCATATTGTTATCTTCTCCTTTGAGGGCTCTGAGGCATGGACTTATATTACCTCACGACTTGTATATTGAGAGTTTTTTATTGAGACTTAGATTGTTAAGACACGAGCCATGTATTATATGTAGTCGGTGACTAGTTTTGACTCGTGTTCTAGTAGACTGTACATATATGGTAGGCTACTAGTTTCAGTAGGTTGGTTTGAGTAGGGGTTTCAGAGATTGCCCTGGGCATGAGAGCCCAGTCTTGTGTGAGTTGTGTGAGTTTTGTGTGAGATTTGTGTGCATATGATGTGAGTATGACTTTTTCAGGGTAGAACAATGAGTTAGTGAGTGCTCGTGCGAGATATATTATCTCGTTCAGGCACATTGTTTTGATTTTTGGATAATGATACCCATTTGAGACATTCGATTCTTCATAACTCGTTCTGAGATTCGGGGTGTATTGCGCAGATATATCCTACTGGACACAATATTGTGCAGGACTTTTTTTTTAATTATTTGAGTATGCCTTATTTGTTGGTTTTCTTTTTAATCCAGACATGTGAGTCTCGTGTGGAAACAGGGAGCCACGAAATATTCTCACAGTGTGAACTTGTGCACGCTTCCCTTGCATCTGTGAGGTTTGTATCTGTTTGTCGGTTGTGAGTAAGTTGTTTGATTGTTGAACAAATGGTTATTGGCCTTGATTGCATATGAATCAGTGTGTGAGAGTCAGTGAAAATTGTTCAACAAAAATGCATGGGAATAGGTTGAATAGAAAGGCAACCTAAATGTTTGATGGGAAAGGGGACCCGTTTTGAGGAGCCACTTGTTTATGTATGTGGGATGAAAGCAAAACTTTATGATTATATTTTGTTCCGTGAAGATAAATAAAACTTTGATTTTTGCAGAAAATTGTCAGTGGATAACCAACCTTGAAGAAAGATATTCATATAACGAGAAGTTTCTTCGAAAGAGAAACTTGTTTGTGAGGGTCGAGGGCCGGTGGTCGCATCTGGCATGATCAAGTAGAGCGACTACAAGCATTGAAAGCAGGCTCAAGAGTATTTTGGGAGGCCTAAGCCGGGGGCAAAATCGGCATCGTTGGGGCAACCCCCAATGTGGGCTGCTGTCCTGCCTAACCAGGACAACAGACCCGTAGCTTAGCCTGAACTTAGAGACAGAGGGGTGACCCGCACCATCATCCATGGCATATAATGTATATAAGCGGGTATTATGGTTACTATTATTAATTACTACATATAATTATTATTAATATTATATTTATTACTATCCTTGTTATTACTATTACTATCATTATATGGGAGGGTTAAATTAAGCCAAGTATCGGGTCACTCCAAAGAATCTAACTAGGGCGACTACTAGGCGGTACTTAGGTCCAAAAGTCAGGGAGTAGCCTTAACATTGTGCAAGCAATGTAGGCAACATCGTGGCTTAATGGCATGATGAACCATGATTTGGCCCGATCAACCAGACTATGGTGGGCTGAGGGCAGGATTATAACCCACCTATGACTAGACGCAAGGTTGGGCTGAGATTTAAATTGCACGGAGTGAGCCACATGCAACACTATGCCTGTCACAAGTTGAGCTACTCAAGGGGGCGTGCTTTTATATGGTAAGCCACCCAGAGGAGTATGCTACCTTTTTTTTTTTTAATTGCGGAGTGAACCACCTAGAGGAGTATGCTTTGATTTTGCTAAGCTACTCGAAAGGGGTGGGCTACCTGCGCTTGTTGTGAGCTGCAGTTTGTCTCACTTAGGACAGTTGTCCTACCTAAAACCCGCGCCCGAAGATGGCAGCTTCTTGATAGCCCGATTCAGACGGCACCCAACGAAAGTCGGAAGGCGTCTAGGACAAACGAAAGGGGCTGGTATTTGAACATTGAAGCTAACCTAGGACGATAGTATAAAGAAAGTATCCTTGTGAGTCAGACAGGAGGTGCAGGTTGGACTCCTGCTCGCCATAGGGACGCCACAGTACTAGAATACCAAACCCCAAGCTGAGTCCGCCCGATTATACCGATTTCGTTATCCATCTGCTTAGTCTATGCATTCACCTTTGTTTACGTTCACACTTTATAGCCCTTACCAAAGCGACGGGGATGTCGCTTAATGGGGTATAGGAGGACTGTCATAGCAAACACCCTTACAAGGGTATTTGCCGTCCTTTTTAAAGGTCACACTGGGAGCATCCTTGATTAACATAGACGCGCCGAGAGGGAAAATCTCGTCAGTACGCTCACCTCGGCGACCTCGCTACTAACGAAAGTCCGAGCCAAAATGCAAACGAATTAGAGAGTGTGTGGGGCACGCATTATTGCATTGCACTGTGAAGTGGTCGTTTAGTCTTCACCAGTACCAGGACGGCGGGAGGTGTCAAAGACCATAGGGTCCGGTTACCTTCGCTATTTTCAATTTGGTTATATTTTTCTTTTATTTTATAAAGACTAACCTCACTCCACGAACCTGCTCAGCCTCTAGCGGGACACGTCAACAACAAGATAAAAACTTTACCTTGCGCACATGCGGGGGGTTTATGATTGGACGACGCATCGAAAGGCGTGGCTTTGGCAATCCTAGTATGGGAGAAAGTCGAAAGTTTGGCAAAATATGTCGAGCGCCTAACGACCAGTATACCAGAAAGCTACGATCCTAGGCGTGGGTTGCGTCTCGGCGTTTTCTGACGGCCAGGAGGTTGGCCGATAGGCCAAGGCGAAGGCCTGGTTTGTGCAGGTAGGACCAATTACGGTCCTATGACTATTCATAGGCATGGTTGCGCCTACCTAACTCAGGCTTGGGCTTAGCCCTATTGGTTACAATACTGGATTTTCAGGCGACAGGTTTGGGGTTCGAGTTCAACAAGCAGCGATGGAGCAAAAGGAGCATGACCGAGAGAGACTGAGGGGTCGAGGGTCTTATGTGACTATGCCCCTTGGTTTTGCGAAACGGGTCTGGGCGTGGGTCCGATTGGCAAGAAGAAGAGAGTGCCAACAGATCCTCGCCCTCGTTAGTCCTGCGAATTTTATTATTGACTCGTTTTTATTTTTATTTTTACCTTTATTATTTTTTCATTCATAAAGTTCCATCTTTGATCACGCCAAAAGTTAGCTCCATACCAACGGTGGAGGAGTACCGTGTAGGAAGGGTGAAAAGAACAGGTCGAAAGCGAGTTAAAGAGTGCTTGAAATTGCTGAGCGAGGAGCGAATTGAGAGAAGTGCAATCACACCTACACGGGGGCGGACGACGACTTTGACGCCGCCGTCGTTGATCTGAACATAGGGTGCCAGCCGACATGGGTTGTTGTGACCAGCATTGCAATAGGAAGCGAGTGAAACCCCCAGACGCGTGGCCGTCACGGCAGCCGATGACCTTGAGCATGAACCTTTTTGGACGGGCCCGTTCGGGTTCCCTCGTGTGCGGGATGCTGACGAAATTCCTCTACCCATCTTGAAAATCGGACCGACGGAGTCAACGAGCAGGGGAATCAGTGGGTGATCAGCCCACGAGGCCAAAGAAACCGACGGAGTCAACGAGCAGGGGAATCAATGGGTGATCAGCCCGCCAGCCGCAAACAACCAAAAGAGGTTTAAGAAAGAGCAGGCCCGCGGGATTCGACAAATAGGGAACTATGTCTGGGCAAGGCACGACCAGTAGTGAGCTCGAATATGAAGCATGCCAATTCGGGTCCGATAGGTGTTGAACCTTGTCTGAGCAAGGTGCAGTCAGGGGAGACTCTGGTGGGCGCACGCAGCAATACTAACGGACAGGTCAAACTCACACCGAGACTTTCTTGGATATATGTAACTGCAATTACATTCGGGACTTATCCCAGAAGGTCCTAATGAGAGCATGCCCTATGTGTTGTGGCAAGCCGCAGGGAAGTTGGTTCCCTCTGAAGCTCCCGGCTAGCAGCGGATACAAGCGTACGAATTGTTTCATCGAACTGTGGTACAGGATCGAAAGATCGATCGGATCAGACTAGTAGTTGTTCCCCTCAAAAGTTTTGCCATAGAGTAGCTAGAACTGGTGGGCTTACGTCGTGCTAAGGAGCACTAAGAACTGTGCTAAAGTGCTGCGCTAAGGAGCAGCGGAGGAGAAAACGACGGTAGGAAGAAAAGGAAAGAAAGACGAATAGGAGAAGAGAAGAAGGGAGGGGACAGAAACGAGGCGAGGAAGGGGAGGAGGTTGCTACGAGGAAAGAGCGGTGAAGCAGCGGTGTAAGTGAGACTAAAAGAAGATGCATGAACCTGGTCGGGATCTGAGCCAGGTACGTGAAGGAAGAAACAGGGAAGTGGCGAAGGAGGAGAAGGCAATGGGTACGGAGGATGGAGAAAACCCATGGCCTA